ACGCCCAGCCGATTTTTTGATTTATTGTAGAGATGAGGTCTCGCTGCCCAGGCAGGTCTCGAACCTGCGGGCTCAGGCAATCCACTCACCTCAGACTTCTAAAGGCGCGAGATTACAGGCTGAGCCACCGAGCCCAGCTAGAACTTTTTTTTTTAAGCAAGTCAAATTTAGCAGTGAGGGGTTGGGAACATTGTTAAAATGAAACCAAAGCATTTAGAATGATACAAAAATTTAGTTGATAAAGCAGCAGCAGAGTTTGAGAGAACTGATTCCAATTTTGAAAAGTTATTTTTAAAATTTTTACTTTCCATCCAGGGGTACACATATGTGTTCATTCCATGGACATATTGTGTAGTGGTGGGGATTAGGTCTCTGTTGACCCTTTCCCCAGATAGTGGACATTGTGCTCTGTATGTAGTTTCTGAACCCTAACTCCCTTCCCCCACCCCCTCCCCCCTTACTGGTGTCCCCAGTGTCTATTATTTCCATGCTTGTGACCATTTAGCTCTCACATATGAGAACATGTGGTGTTTGGTTTTCTGTTTCTAAGTCAGTTCACAAGATCATGATCTCTAGCTCCATCCATGTGGCCGCAAAGGACATGATTTCGTTTTTGTTTATGGCTGTGTAGTATTCCATGGTGTATATATACCATATATCCACTGATTAGTTGATGGGCATTTAGGTTGATTCCACATCTTTGCAATTGTGAATTGTGCTGCAATGAACATGTGGGTGCAGGTGTCTTTTTTATATAATGATCCCCATTCCTTAGGGTAGATGTCTAGTAGTGGGATTGCTGAATCAAATGGTAAATCTGCTTTTAGTTTTTTGAGTAATCTCCATACTGCTTTCCGTAGAGGTTGTACTAATTTACACTCCCACCAACAGTGTATAAGTGTTCCCTTTTCTCTGCAACTGCACCAACATCTATTGTTTTTGGATTTTTAAAATAATGGCCATTCCAACTGTGTAAGGTGGCATTTCATTGTGGTTTTAATTTGCATTTCCCTGATTATGAGTGAGGTTGAGCATTTTTTCATATGTTTGTTGGCCATTGGTATATCTTCTTTTGAGAGATGTCTGTTCACGTTGTTTACTTTTTCCCCCATATCATCAAACTCCTGTGTTTTATTTCTGCAGAAAGTCCCAGTTCTACTTGCCATGTCCCCATCTCCTGGAATACCGGAAGATAGAGAAGTTCTGGGTGCCAATGCAGGAGCCATAGGGCACACCCAGAGAGTGAATCTGCGGGGTGGTGGAAGTTGAGCGGTAGGTTGGCGCCCGAGGAGCCCAGATTCAGGGACTCAATGTGAGGCTCCATCACAGTCACAGGGACTGAAGAGGACAATATCTGGGGCTAGTCATCATGGCATCTCAGCGTGCCCTTGCCCAACTGCCCATTCTTTAATGGGGTTATTTGCTTTTTTCTTGCTGGTTTGTTTGAGTTCTTTGTAGATTCTAGATATTAGTCCTCGAAAGATGTATAGTTTGAGAATATCTTCTCCCATTCAGTAGGCTGCCTATTTGCTCCGTTGATTATTTCTTTTGCTGTGAAGAAGCTTTTCAGTTTAATTAAACTCCACATAATTATTTTTGTTTTAGTGGCATTTGCTATTGGGGTTTTAGCCATAAATTCTTTGCCTAGGCCGATAGCCATAAGATTTTTGCCTAGGTTTTCTTCTAGGATTTTTATGGCTTCAGGTCTGACATTTAAGTTTTTAATCCATCTTGAGTAGACACATAGACCAATGGAACAGAATAGAGAATTCAGAAATAAACCCAAACACGTATAACCTACTGATCTTTGACAAAGCACACAAAAATATACACTAGGAAAAGGACACCATATTCAACAAATGGTGCTAGGAAAATTGGACAGCTGCATGTAAAAAATAAATCTTGATAACTTTCTCTCCCCATATACAATTTTGAAAAAGTTCTAATGTGGGTAAAATACTATCAATCATCATCACAGGCTATAGATAAGTCTTTCATAAAAGGAAAAGCCCATCAATATCGACAAGTTCATTATTGCCTTATTTGAAGAAATTGCCACAGCCATCTCAACTTTTAGCAACTACCACCCTGATCATTCAGCAGCCATCAACAAGGAAGAAAGACCATCTACAATCAAAAAGATTAAGACTCACAGAGTACTCAGATGATTATCAGCATTCTTTGGCAATCTATTTTTATTTTAAGGTATGTACACTGCTCTTGGACATAATATTAAACACTTAATTGAGTACAGTTTTACATAAATATAACTTTTATATGTACTAGAAAACAAAAAACTTTGTGTGAATGCTTTATGGCAATATTTGCTTATTTTGGGTGGTCTGTACCAAAATCTGCAATATATCTGAGAATTAAATGGAAGATTCCAAAGAGATATTTATACATCCATGATCGAGCAGCATTATTCACCGTAGCTAAAAGGTGGAAGCAACCCAGGTGTTCACTGAAGCATGAATGGATAAATCAAACATGGTATAGCCATACAATGGACAATATTCAGCCTTCAAAAGGAAAGATGCACTGATATTGTCTACAATATAAATGAACCTTAAGGACATTCTGCCAAGTGAAATAAGACAGTCACAGAAAGACAACTCGTATATGGTTCCACTTACATGACTTCCCTGTAGTTGTCAAACTCACAGAAACAGAAAGCAGAATGCTAGTTGCCAGGGATTGGGGGGAAGGTGGAAATGGGGAGGTATTATCTAATGAGAATAGGATTTAGGTTTGCTAGATGAAGAGAGTCGGTGGCAGGGCAGTGGTGATGACTCTACAACATTATTAATGTACTTAATCACACTGAATCGCACTCTTTAAAATGGTTACGATGGTAATTTTATGTTGTCTTACCACAAACACACAGAAAAGTATATTTCAAGCCAATATGATCATTTGGCTGGAAGAGCCAAAGGGTATTGCCTTTGCCATAAAAAGTGACCTGCAAAGGCTTGGGGAATTTATTCCTTGCACAATCCAAATCAAGCAATAGACTTTCCAGATGTTGCTGGAAGATATCCCCTAAGGCCTTGGAATATCCTGCCTAACAGTAATGGGTCTGTAGATATCTGGGACCTTGGGTCACACCACACAGTTTGTGCCCGCAATGTGATTGAGGGTGTGGGCCTCAGGCTGTATCAGTCTGACTTCAAAAGGGGCTGGAGACTGAGTAACTGAGGCCAGCCGTGTGGGCACTCAAGCTTAGGTTAGTGACCCCAACAAGAAACCTGGACACCAAGGCTCAGGGGAGCTGCCATAATTAGCAATACCCTCTGCTGTATCTCACATTGTTGCTGGGAGATGTAAGCACTGTCTGTACAAATCCACTGGAAAACAGCTGGAAGCTTCTGCCTGGTCTCTCTGGACCCATGCCTTTTATCACAGCTGACTTTCATCTGTATCTTTTGATGTAATAAACCATAACAATGAGTATAATACCTTTTTGAAGTCTATGAGGCCTTCTAGCAAATCACTGACCCTGAGGGTGGTCTTGGGTCCCTGACAAAGTCTCCAACCTCAGTCAGGAATTGGGATGATCCTAGCAAAACCCTATTGCCATCTACCCCAGGAGTCAAGATTTATGCAAGGACATTGTCACCAACCCATGAAGCCAGTGATAGATCTCTGGCTGTCACCTTCGAAGAATGAGTATACCCTCACGTACAAGTAAAGTCACATGGTCAAGTAAGGATGAATGAAACAGAGGGTGAGGGCTGACTTCAGGCAAGTGCTGAGGACCCAAGACAGCCAGGACCTTGTCAGGGGGTCCAGGTTAGATTCATCAACCAAGGGGCAGAGACTGGTTTGATATATATCAGGGCCCAACTGAGGAGCAGGTTGGGGGCTTATGGCCCCTCTAGCGGGGCACAGCAGATAGCTGGTAGGGGGATGGGGTCACCATAGTATGGTAAACTGCACGGTCGCTGGGCCGAGGCTGTCCAGCAGGCACGGAGAAGCTGAAACGCTGCAGGAGGCAGGTGAAGAAGAGGAAGAGCTCCATACGGGCCAGGGGCTCTCCAAGGCATGCGCGGCGGCCTGTGGGTGGATGAGGGAGCTTGGTGAGCCTGGAGCCTGGGCCCCTCTCACCCTGGAATCCAGGAAATTGACAGAGAGCTGGGAATCCCAGAGGCACCTGCTGAGAAAGGTATGGAGGCCTCTTGCTTCATGAAGCGGCCCTGGGCATCCAGGAAGTGTTTGGGGTAGAAGCGGAAGGGCTTCTCCCAGACGGCCTCATCCTTCAGCACCGATGACAGGTTGGTTAAGAACGCTGTTCCCTGGACAGGAAAAGCCTGGCATCAGTGGGGACTGGACTCTAGACTGCTGGAACCCCTGCCACCAAACACACGCACTCTGGCACACAGTTGGACTCTTGCAAATAACCCTTGACCCAAGAAACTAATGGGAGCCCTCTGAGGCCATAGCAAGACAGAATCACACCTCCTGGGGGGTACCCTACTTCTCTTATCTCTGCAGGCATAGGCTCCTCCAAAACCTGAGGCATGTTCTGGTTTGTCTTCCCCTCTATACTGAGGCTTGGAAGTATAGGCCATCCCTGTCCCTGCTCTAAACTCCACATTCAGGCCAGGAGGCTGATGCCCGTGGAATTGAGAACTCGGTGGCCTGAGTCCCAGACTGACCCACATACAGCAGCCATGCTCGGGCCACCAGTGGGCAAGTGGTGTTGAGTTTGGATGAAGACATCCCCAGGCCTACCTTGGGGATGCGGAAACCCTGCACTTCAATGTCGTGGGTGGTCATGTGGGGGACACCTAAGGGGACGATGTCACCAAAGCGCTGCACCTCGTGAACCACGGCGGTGGTGAAGGGCATGCGGGCCTGGTCAGCCATCTCTGGTGGCCGCGCCTGCCCTATCACTTCGTCGATCTCCTGTTGGACACGGCCTGGACAGACAAGTGTCCCCACAGTAGGTCAGAACCCAGATGGTGGGTACTGACCCTCTCCTGAATCCTGTGTTGGGCACTGTGTCCACCTATGGCAGAGGTCCCATTGCAGGAGCCTGGACAAGCCTGTGCTTGGAACCAGGAGCATCCCAATAAGCTCAGAGGTCCCTGTCTGTACCTTTACTCCCTCAGCCGCCCCAACAGATTCCCAGATGAACTCACGCTGCACATCCGGGTGCAGGATCATGAGAGAGAGGGCCCAGGCCAGCGTGACCGAGGTGGTCACCATCCCAGCAGAGAATAGATCAGACAACACCAGGAGCAGGTTCTCAGCATTGAAGCTGCTCTCGGGGTTTCCCTTGGCCTGAGTCAGGCAGAAAGGGTGGGCTCAGGACAGAGGGAGGAGGCCCCCAGATGACCTCCCATACTGCACCTCTCAGCCCAAGGGCACCCCAATGGATGATGCACTGGCCACACCTTGCAGCCTCTTCTCACTCCTCATGGGAGCCTCAACCCAACACCCCTTATCCAATCCCTGGCAGCAGCTCCTCACTTTCTCCATCTCGGCCAGGAAGGCATCAGTCAGGTCTCGGGGTGGCTGGTCTGGGTCCCGGGTCATCCTATGCTCAGTCACCAGCTCATCCAGTTGAGCCTGAAATTTCCTTTTTGCACATATGAACTTGCTAGCCAGCCCTGGGATGCGCAGGAGCACTGGGAAAGCATTCAGTATCTGTGCCAGTCACAGAAAAGGGCATGTGTCTCTCCCCTGCTCCAGTTTCATTTGCACCAATTTCTGGCCCCTGCCACCTCCAAGCTGGACCTAGGGGGCCTGCCTGTCCCCACCATTCACCTGGTATCTCCCCAAGTGCCAGCCTCAGACTCTCTCTGGCCCTTGTGGTCTAGAAGAAGAAACCTAAAATCAAAATCTCTTGGGCTTGGGTGGCCACCAGCATGGACAGGAGGCACAGGCTCCTTGGCCTTCTCTTGGGGTTCACTGATCCTGGGCCCACCTCTCCCATTACTATTGGGTAGTTCCCCCCTCCAGGCCTTTCCTCTTGCAGTGACCTCTCCAGGAATGCCCTTTCCCCAAACCCTTTGTAGAGACCCAGGTGCAGGCCTATACATCTCCTCGGAGTTTGTCAGACTCTTGCCTGACCCTCCAATCCGCGCACCGTGGCCCCAAAGCTGCTTTCCTCCTCCATTTGGGCCTCAACTAGGTCCAACATCCTGAGCATGAGCGGGTCGTCGTAGTCAAAGCGGCGCCCGAAGGTGAGGGAGGCGATCACGTTGCTCACAGCTCTGTCCAGGAGTGCGTTCGGGCTAAAGGGGCGGCCTGGGAGCAGGGGATGCCGGTCAGGAGTCGCTGCCTTCTGCTGGTCCCCAACTCCTCCCTTCCCGCCTCGTGCCCCTCTGGACAATCACCCACCCGCGTAATCGGCGAAGGCAGCACAGAGGCAGGAGGCTTCCTCGGTCACCCACTGCTCCAGCGACTTCTTGCCCAGGCCGAAGTAGCGCAGGGTGGACACTGCAAAGCGCCGCTGCTCGCGCCATGCGTGGCCGTAGCGGGCGAAGATCACCCCTGGGGATTAGGCAGTCTCGTGGGCATAAACTGAAGGGCTTGGCCCTGCCCTCTGCACCCAACCCTCTGGACCCTTCGCTTTGAAACCTGCACAGAAAACGTCCCTTCAAGAATGTCCGGGTCCCCTCTGAGCTCAGACCCCCCTTTGTACCTCAGGTGTCCGCTTCCCCTCTGAGAACAGTTCCTGCCCTCGTTCCAGCCCACCGTGTCCCACTCCTCTGAGTACTGGCCCATCTGTTTCCATCCTATTCCGGGTCCAGGCCCCGCCCTCAGCCCCGCCCACACTCCTCCCCCTCGCCCTGCTCCTCAGGCTCCTTTCTAAACCCACCGCCCCCAGCCTTCGCAGGCCTTTTCTGGCCCCTCACGTCCGAGTCTCCTCTCCCGTTAGGCCCTGTCCTGTGTCCAGTCGCTGCCTATCGAGGTCCTGCGGAGATGCGGTCTCCGCAGTACCGCCTCTTGCCTTGGGAGCGCGGCCCGAAGCCCACGTGATCAAAGAGGGGCAAAGGCAGGCGGTCGGCAGTGTCCTCGCCGCGGGTCATCAGCGCCTCACGCACGGCGGCCAGCCCATTGAGCACGACCACCGTCGTCCAGCCTAGCTGCAGGCTGAACACGTCCCCGAAGCGACGATGCAGCTGCAGGTGGAGAGACAGGTCATCAGTCAGGCCGGAATCCCCCAGGCTGCTTGCCCCAGTCTCACAGTACAAATCCTGGGGGACCCCAGGACAGGCAATAGTGAGACTGCCAGGAGACCTGTCCTGATGATCTCAAGTGGGTCCGCCCATTCCTCCTGGTCTAGGAACTCAGTTTGGAGAGCCACCAAAATGATCAGTAGGCCTCAGGTAGCATCCCATTTTACAGATGAGAAAACTGAAGTTCACAGAAATTAGAAGTGAGGCCCAAGGACTTACAGCCACAAGAGTTGAACCAAGTCACTACACCTCTCCTAACCTTGGTTTCCTTGTTTCCTGATTTAAATGGTGCTCCAGACTCGAACCTTCTTTCATTCCCAAGAACTTTCCTCCTAGTGTAACCAGAAGGGACACTGGGTTTCCATCATTATATGCTGACCAACTGGCTTGCAGGACCAATGCCAAGTCTCATCCCACTTCAGGACTTTGCTCCCCCAGACTTTGACCTTTGAAAAATCCAAACTGTCCTTCAGGCCTGAGCAAATGTCCTCGCTCAGGAAGACTCTCAAATCTACTTCCTCTTTGGAGCCCAGCTCTTTGCCTGCAACTTCACCCACCACCACATCTGCTATTGGGAGAGGGGGAGGTGGTTCTCAGGACCTCTGCTGCCCTCCACCACCACATCTCTCACCTGGTTGATGCAGTATGGTAAATTCTGAAAGTCCACATGCAGCAGGTTGCCCAGCACCGGCACTGACATGGGGCCTGGCGGGTAGTGTGCAGCCCAGCGTTGGCGCCTGTGCATCAGGTCCACCAGGAACAGGAAGATGGCCACGGCCACGGCCAGGGTTGCTAGTGTATCCCCCGTCAGCAACCCCATGGCTGCCCTGCTACACACAGGGCTCTTTTAGGAACACCTGGCACACCCACCTCACCAGGAACAGAGAACCAGGCAGGACACATTTACTACACACTGAGCGCTGGACTAGCCTGGGCTGTTTTCTTATAAGGGAGGACACTGGCCTTTGCCCTCTGCTGTGAGCCAACCTGCAGTGTTGACTGTGCTGCCACAAGGTGCGGGGCCAGGGCAGGGCTGGTGTGGGGCAGGTCCAGAGACCTTTGCCCCTGTTGCCTGCTCAGGGTGCTTACAGGGTAGAGCAATGGAGGGGCCAAGCAGACGTCACCCCCTCTCCCCAACTCCAATCCCCCAGCTCTGTACAGTCTGCAGTGATACCATGCTCTGACATGACCCTCCCACACAGCTCCCCCAGGCCCACATCTTTTAATGTAGTTACAATCTCTCATGTCCTTTGCTTTCCCTCATTTCACCCGCCTGTTCTAAATGGCCTTCAACTTCATTGTTTGTCATCTGCACTTGTCTGGGGCCTTGGAGAGGCCATGATGATCTGAGGGAACTTGGGGCAGGTCCCCTCATTCACACTGCATACTTGACACACACAGACACTCAGACACAGCTGATCACTCACACCTCTCATACATTCCCCGACACTTCCCACATGCTCACACACGGACAAACATGTTCACACACCCACAAAACCACCCATACAGAGGCAATATTCACATGCACACAGACTCACACACTGAATGTAGATACTTTACACATACTCACCCATACGTACATGCAGACCCAGCACCCAAGTACCCTGGATCTCAGTAACTTTTCTGAACTAATTGTGCAGTCTCTATTCTTTGTTAAGTATGGCCACTGAAGTCTCTACTTAGTTAGCTTAGTAATCAACAAATGACAGGTCAGAGGTTTCCTGAGATGCCAGTCTTTGCCAAGGGGCTCTGTGTGTATGTTGGGGCATGCCTCCAGCACTCAACCAGGCAGTGACAACTTTACCTTAGGCTTCAGGTCCTCTTTGCACAGGACCTCAGGTCAGTCAGAGGAGACAGCTCAGGCCCTCCAGGTCTTCCTGATCATGTGCACAGCTGCACTCAGCCTTACTCAGGAGGACGGCCTGCTAGGAACCCAGAAATGGATCAGAACTGGTCAAAGCCCCTATGGACACCTCATGCCCCGGGTCTTTAAACCTTTTGGGCTTGGGTATGACGTGCCCCAACTGTTATCCATTGTCTTAGGCAGCTCTGATTTTCAACAATGGCTTTGACTACTTCCAACAAATTCTTCTGAGGAAAATACCATTCACATTAAGGGAGATCTTAGGACAAATATAGACAGTTCTGTGTCACACATGGTTATTGGGAAAATTAAGCACTGTCTGTATGACTCCACTGGAAAAAGACAACGGAAATTCAGTGCTATGTCTCTCCTGGACTCTATCTATACACCACTTACTTCTGCTGACTTTCATGTGTGTCCTTTCACTGTAATAATCCATGACAGTGAGTATAGCAGCACTTACGAATTATGTGAATCCTTAAAGAAAATCACTAAGCCAAGGGTGGTCTTGGGGACTTTTGACACAGATTGCTTCAGAAGTCTTATTCACTAGAATGACCCTGATTCTCTGAAATGTGGTGAAAGCTAAGTTTGAAAAAAAGGTTAGGTGGTGTTGGTCGACAAAGCTTTCACTCCCCAGTAGCTACTGCAGCAATCATGGTATGACACAGCAGCTGCACTGTGATTAGTTATCACAGGTCAAAGTGGCCTATGGAATTTAGAATTTAGACCTAGGAGTTGGCCCAGTGGATATTTAAGAAAATATAAAATCACAAGAAACAATCTAAATATATAATTCCTCGGTTATTGTTATAGGTAATTAGCTCCACTGAAAATAAAGGAGTGTTATGCCAGACTTTGACACTGCCTCCTGCGCGGATTTCAACTTTTTTAGTTATGGCTGCTCACGTCAGGGATGTTTTCAAAGGGAAAAATTATACTGGGGCAATACATAGCACCCTATCACCTCTAGTCACCAAGAATACAGTACAAATGGGGGTAGGACAAAACCAAAAAAATATTAGCACCATGAGTTCTGGTGTGAATGAGGTACCTCCTTTTGTCAGTCAGTATCATCAACTCCCTACACAGACTTTACTAAAATGGACTGTGAGAGTAAGACAACCAGGGACAGTATCCTTGATTTTGAATACTGAAGAATGAGTGACCATGTTGGATTGATGTAGGAGCCTATAGGAGCCTACTGAACAATCACATGTTGCTATTCATGATCCAGACACACAGCAGGTTATCTGAGGGGGCAGCTAGTATTAACAAGTTTGCAGTCAAATTCTGTTAACATGACAAGGAGTTTGCCTTCTCCTTTTTTAAATGCCAGGTGGAGCTCCCCAGATGTAGTGGCTGATATGGCACATATGGATGCCATGCTGGATTGACTTTATGATTATCACGATATTTATCCACTTACAAGCCTCTCTTCAGGTCATGGTAAATTCTGTGATTAAGGGCTCATTTTGCACGGGCACTCCACTGAATTTTACTGCTGTGAAATCAAGGAATGGCTGGAGAATGATTAAGAAAGTTTTGTCCTTGCTTCCTCTTATGGGTTTTATAGGTCCTAAGAAAATTAGAAGAATTCATAAGACGATGAAAAAAGACAAGGGGGAGAGTGAAGAACTCATACTAGCAGAGTGGATATATTTTAATTGCTCACAAAGAAATATGATACAGACAGTAATAAAGTGAAACAAAGGTCTTCATGCAGCAACAACAGAGGCTGGCTAGACAGATGGCAGTCTCTACTGAGCCTCCAACATTAAATGGCCCCAAATAAGTCATCTCAACCCCAAACTGTAGGACTTTTAAAGGCAGAACAAAAATGACAAAGAGAAGAAGGGAGGGAAGACTCAAGTTAGTACAATCAGAAATAAAAAGGAAATATTACCATCAATTTCACAGAAAGGAAAAGGTTTAGAAGAGACAACATGGAACAACTCTATGCCAACAAATTGGATAGATCTGTAACAAGTAAGGACATGGAATCAGTCATCAAAATCACTCAAGGAAAGTGACATCACAAAGGAGGGTGGAGCAGAAAACTCTATGGATGAACCCCTTCACTGGAACTATCAAGGATCTTGAAAAAATGTCCATAATCAATTATTTCAGAGCTGTATCCTGATCACATATGACAGTAATCAAGGGAGTACTCATAAATAAAGAGGTTGCATATCTCTGGTAGGAGTACACCATGTGCAAACCACCTATGATTTCCTTTCCCTATAGAAAAAAATGGTCTGCATTCCTGGAGCCTGATAGTGGGAGCAAGGTGGTGTGGGTAGAGACTTGCCCTCCACCAACTTGAGGTTGCATGCTTAGACCAGTCTAGTGAATCCCTGATGGACCACTGCAGACATTTTCCTTGGTTTGAGTCATCCAGGCTGCAGCAGTTGATCCCTGAAGTATATATCAGGAAATTCAGAGGCAGTAGTTCTTTTTCCCTTTTACGAGTCAGACATTTAAGCATATGAGACTGACAATTAAGTTTGTGAACTCATCCTAGAAAAAAGTGCTACATACCTCACTGCTGAATATCACTATGGTCACCTTTGAAGTACTCCCCTTGGGAAGCTATGCACCCATGCCGGTATCTAGTCCACCCATCAAGTCAATTTTGGAACTCTTTTTCTGGAATGGCCATCAGAGCTGTCATCATATTACCCTTGATGTCCTGAATGTCATCCAAATGTCTTCCTTTCAATATTTCCTTTACTTTAAGGTAATGAAAAAAGTCTACAGGGGCCATATCAGGTGAACAGGGAGGATGTGCCAAAACAGTTATTTACCAGCTAAAAACTCCCTCACAGACAGTTCTGTATGAGCTGGCACATTATCATAATGCCAGAGCGCCTTCAGGATCATTTTTGCACACACCTTTCTCACGCCAAGATTTTCAGTTAAGATTTTCCTAACTGTTTCTCTATCTTATTTGCTATGTTTCTCACAGTCAGCTGACAATTTTGATGCACAACTCAACAAATTTTTGCAATGTTTTTGTCAGTTCTGCTTGTTACTGGCTATTCTGATCTCCCTTCTTCAGTGATGCTTTCTCTTCCTTCAGAAAAACACTTAATCCAGTTGTGCACTGCTGTTTCTTCATGTCATTTTCCCCATAAACCTGGACTAACATGTTCCTGATTTCACTTCCACTCTTGCCAAGTTTAACAAGAAATTTAATTTAATTTCTGGAATGGCCATTCCAGAAAAAGAGTTCCAAAATTGCTTTGACAGGTGGACTAGCCACTGGCATCAGTGCATAGCTTCCCAAGGAGAGTACTCTGAAGATGACCATAGTGCTATTTAGCAATGAGGTATGTAGCACTTTCTCTAGGATGAGTTCATGAACTTAATTGTCAGACCTCATATCTTTGTCAGGTCACTGATTAACCTCAGGGATAATGGTTCTGATAATTCAGTGACCTTATACAACAAAGAAGATGCTCTTTCAAAAATAGTTTAGAAGAGTCACAGCACTCAACGAACAAAAACTATCAATTCCAAACGAGTGTGGAATTCTATTTCCAGAGTTGTCACAGTGAAACTCAGAATGTTCAGTTATCAAAAAAAATGTACAAGAGAAAAATTAAAGCATGATCCATTCACAAAGGAAAAAAGTAAAGAATTTAGTGGAAACCATACATAGTAAGGAAGCCCAGACACTGCAATAACTAGTCAAGAACATTGAATTAACTCAACGTACTTACTAAATATACTCAGTGTACTAAAGGAAACAATGGACATATAACTAAAGGAAATCAGAAAAACTATGCATAAAGAAAATGGGAATATAAACAAAAAGACATAAAAGCATATAAAAGTACCAGTTGGCATTTTGGAGCTGGAAATCATAATAACTGCAATGAAAAATTGACTAGATGGGTTCAACAATAGTGTATTAGTCAGCTCCAACTACCATAACAAAATATCACAGACTG